ACATGTAGAATGTTTTTACTTGAACATATTTAGCTTAAAGCATATTTACAAGATTAAATGTCAATTACTTATTCCACAGATCCAGACCATATGCAAATGAAAGTTTCCAGTGAATTTAGTGATTTAATAAGGGAAGTGGCTTATTTTAAGTGTTTGGAGAAAATACAAAATCCGTGATAAAACAAACTAATAAGCACTAAATGACCAGAACAAAATTTTCACATATTATTGTCACACTTAGTTTATATGGAATTAAAACGATATGAAGTATAAAAGTAATCAACAGGTGACTTTGTTGGAAAAGCGTGATGAAAATAAGGTTAGATGGCCTGTTTTAAAGTCAGCGCAACAGTAGGATTTAAGACGAGAATGCTAAAATATTCACTTGTCAGGATAGTGATAGACTGCCTGGTCAAACTTTATTTGTACAAATGTAAGTCACCTGAAATGTACCTAGTGTTGCATATTGAGTGTTCGTTGTTTGCCTACTACTTCACAGCCATTTCTAATGGCGCTTCTCATCTCTGATGTGTCTCAGATATATGGTACTCACAGTGAAAAATAATTCATATCAGCTCATTGGTAAATTTCTTAGAAGGTTCTATTACATTCCAGTAGAATCATTACTGTACATTTTGCTGGTTCATCATTATTCTGAAGCAAATTTTCAACTACACTGGGAGTCTGTGAGCAGGTATGAATCCTTTTTGGTTTAGCTTCACGGGAGAGGTTTCTGTACAATGAAATATGTCTTGCTGTTATAGAGTAAAATTTCTTCGCTAATCTAATCCTCCATCCTTTTCTTTACAAATTTCATTCTCTTCGGACAACACTTTGCAAACGTTCCTCAAACGATTTTACGACTTCATGGTTTACTGGACAGTGACTATTTGAACTCCATCTTTTAGCAACAATCTTGCATAAAATTGACCTCCATATAAATATCACCAAACCTGGTAGAAAAGCTGTTCGTGGCTCGCATCACTCAGTTTACTAAAAGTCTCACCAAAACACAGAGTTTTAAGTCATTTTCTTAACTCTTGGTGTAAGTCAAGTCTGTTGAAAATCTGCAATGAAGCAATTTGGGATGACAAACATAAGCGTGAGACATATGGCCAATTCATCAGGCAAGTTGTAGAACTTATTGTTTCATAGAAAAAAATGTCTTTCATAGGAAGAGCAACAGTTATCTTAAATCGTGCAGAGATAAGAAAAAACTATTAACACTTTGGGCAACCGGTAGTATCTTCACGCTTCATAGTGTCTTTGTGGCTTCGACTTGATAGCTGACTCTGATAGTGTCAGTTCATTTGATATTTTCACGCAATTTGCTTTGTGCAAAAGCTGAAAAGTTTTTTTAGATTATTATTGATTAATTCTATCAAGGTCTACTCCAATTTTTGTGTTTACCAATGAGTCGAATCACGATACGAATCCTTTACGATGCAGTGGCACGTATTTTGCCTTCGTGAACAACTTTACGTATGTCATTCAATAATCTATTTTTCTCTAAATCTGTTTTAACTTCTGGCTGTAAGCCTTTGTGTAAAGTCAGGAAAGGTGATAAATTCTTTTTATATTCTCAATACTTGTGTTTTCTGACATGTTTCCTTTTCATGCATGGTTTTTCAAACGTGAATATCATAGCATGTATTTCACCGTGAAAACACCCCATTGTTAATTTTTAATGTTAAATGTTCTTGACCTTTCTTGAAGTTTTGTTTAATTGATTTCCAACCTTTTTAAGGTGCCCTGATTTGTTATAACTGTATGTTTACTATCATTATTCATCGATTTACTGATACAATTAAGAAACTACCCGGTACTTTTTATATATAATTCATGTTGTCAAACCTTGAGATATTATGGCATTCTAAATAAATTGGAAGAAAAAAATTTGCGGAAGGCTTCAAATATTTATTTGGAAAATGAACCCACATACATTATAAAACTCATGTCCGTCAGTTTCAAACGATATCGAAATGATTTATGACCAGTTTACAGACTGTAATTCTTTATTTTTTAAATCTTGAGGCATTTTCTACTAATAGGTTATTAAAATGATGTAGCCCGTGTCCAGTTAAATTTAGCTATTCACATACTATAGGCAATGGTTCTTTATAACTTGGGTGTGAGTTATTTTGACTATTTTTTATCTCTTGGATTAAAATTATAAAAACTTCTTGTCATCTTTCTAAAACTATCTTTCTACCTATCTCAGTAACATTTATCTTACTCATCAAAGTGAATATTGGAGTGAGAATGCCATTACTTTGTGGTTAGAGTGACTTTGAAGGCCACCCACACAAGCATCTGCTGAAGTAACCGATCAGATGTTGGAATTTTGGTTGAAAAGGAAGTTTTCCGTAAAACACAAAGAAACAATCGGCTAGCCCGACATTTGCTAGGGTAACATTTGAAGCCACTGTGTTATTAGCGCATAAAGTTCATAGTTAGGCCTGTAAATATTGATCAAAATAGAAAGCATGACAAGGGACTTAAAATTATCAAACTTTTTGGCGTGCATGTTAACAAAACCGCTGAGGTCGAGTAATAGTTCTCATTAGACAGAAGCAACATAGTTTCATTAGCAGTCAAGAAGATAAAAAATAAAATAAACGCAGTTTTGTTCCGTTTACTTTCCACAATTTTACTGTTAATAATTCTCAGGAGCATACTGTTATGAACGAAAAACCAAGAATTTACTTTTCCATACATTTATAACTAGCACCTTTCAATATACTGAGCTTTTTATAGTTAATGTTTAGGTTTCGAAGGCCAAGAATTAAAGTTGAATGTCTTTTGTTATTGTTTTCGTGTTTCACATTATTCCTAATTATTTTCAGCATTCTAAATAATCTTTAAACAGTTATATAAACTATGTATTTCATGTTACAGATTCTATCTCGTATTTACGAGCATTTCCCTTTGACCTGATTGCATTTAACATATTCAACAAAATCCGTAGAAGCCAACTTTCACTCATTCTTTATATTTAGCAGAGTAAATCGTTAGTTTCATTGAAACCATCTGTTGAAAATGATTCTAACACATAAATCATCATCTGGGAAGTCTGTGCAATCAAGAAACTTCACATGATAACATAGTTTATTGTTGTGAAACGGTGGATTTCTGATACAAATATAAATTATCTACGCATTTCAAGTTTAGAAAAAATATTCTTCTTTGCAGATTTTTTCGTAATCACGAATTATTTTAAAAACATCATATGTTCTTTATTCTAATATATAGAGAGCAAGACAGGGAACGTTTTGTAGATTATTTTGTGTGTACAGAAGCAAAACTACTGATTTTTTAATTCAGTACTCTTTCAAAATAAAAATATTTCAGAAAGGGAAGTAAATATAAAAGCAATACTTCATCTGAGATGGTTCATTTGTAATTTTTCGCCTATTTTTGATCAGTGAATCATCCAACTTTAAACAAACTAAGATATTTAATATCAAGTTTACTTACTGAAAATTATCAAGTAGAGGAATGCAGGATTGTATTTTTTTTTTCATATAACATGTTCTTATTTTATGCTCTGAAATCCCACTGACTTTGTGACCTTTAACTGAAATTCTTACCAGGCATCCATCCCCTTTAAAATCTTAGAAACTTATGCCTCAAGCTTTTGTCAGTGAGGAAAAGCTAACCAATCCTTTCATTTTTTAACCGCTTAATTGGCTTTGAAAATCAGTAATTTTAGATCATAAAGTTCTTGATCCTTATGTTATCTGAGATTTTAAAAAGGATGAAAAACCGATGACCAGCGACTGCAGATGTGTTCGTTAGAATTATAAATCATAATGTTATTTTTAAAGAGACAGGAGTACATTTCAAATGTTATCTAAACAATCCTTGTGTTTGACAAAAATTTATGTTTCAGCTTACTGTGTACTTATAAACTCAAATAAAAATGAGTTCTGTATTAAAAATCTTCATATTCCCCAGAAAAGATATTTCTTATGAATCTCTGAGACTTTAACATTGATTATCACGCCTTTTGTAAATTGAAAGGTGATAAAGAAAGTGGAAATATTTCAACCGTTAACAAAAGTTTTATGTGGAGTTACATGAACTTGTTTCAACAATTATTATTCAGATGAACTTAAAATGATTTGGGTGTACATAATTTAATGGTCAGCAGAAAGAAAACGCATTCTTTGATACAGATAATAAAATATGTCCATCTTGTTCACATACTTATTGCTTTCAGTTGTTTATCATGATATATGTTGGAACCTGATAGGAATGGTATCATTTTTAAAGGAAATTATTGGTCATTCAATAAAAAAGTATATGATCTATTTAAAACTTTTCTTTCTCATCTTTATCTTCAGTTATGGTCCACAGATAACTTTATAATCTATAGGTAAATAATTTTTGCACTATGTACAACGGAATATATAGAGAATTTTATTCTCATCTCCCTGCAGTACAAATAGAGTGTTATATTAACATGTATTTCCTTCTGATACACGTTTTTGTTATTTTAGCCAATATATTACTAAAGAGTATCTCTCACATATACCTGCATACTAAAGCTTTAATAGGTGAAACAGATCATAAAAAGGCTTTAATAAGCATACACTTAATACATAAACTTATCACCAGATGGTATTGAGTTTAGCTATCATTTCACTGATCTCATTTCTCTGATTTCAGTACTAGCTATACTAGTTTGAGTCTCTAGAAAAGGATTGCCAAGACTTCCTGTTATCGAGGTTGAATAACCACATAAACATAGATTCACATCTCTCTGATTAATAACTATCGGTGTGTATATCATATAATAGTTCCCCAGTGGTGTACACCAACTACTCCAACTTTCGAAATCGTGCGTACTATAAATCAATTAATTTATACAAACAGTATCGAAGTTCATACTACGAGCTTTCTATGCTGTTCTGAGAATTTATTAGGTTTTCATAATAAAGTATTCCGATTTTTTTTAACTGAATAAACCAAGCTTTATAAACGTTATTTTATTACAGCCAAGAACATCTTTACGAACTATATCATATACTACTATCAGAAAATCCAAGTTTATCAAGAATGTATGAGACTATACTCGTTGATGTTGTTCGATACATTCAAAAAACTCGTGAGGTTCAATTACGGTTAGAGAAACAAATTGAAAGGTAAGTGATTTTGCATTACACTGGTTATGTACAGTGCTGCACAGATATTGCCTTTCACAACTGTGCCTAGCTCACTTATTCTAATGTGGTGCTATAAAATGGTGATTTTTAGGTGACGCTGTTTGGTTCAAGAATTTAAGTGAGCTATAAATATCATTTCCGCGTAAAAAGGGTGGACTGATTCAATAGATTAGAGCGAAACTTTTGTCCTACTAAGCGAATATCGCTTTTTGCAGAGGTACGATAAGTCCACTTGGAAAACTTTTAGAAATGGCATAAAACGCCCTGTAGTACTACACTTATCTTTTTACGTTTGACAAGTACATTTTGTCGTACAGCGAGCCTACAGATTATGTGAATATCAGTATCTACAATATTATGTATGGTCACATAAACAAATGAATGAGTGGTAATCAACTGTTATTGGTTCATAATACCACAGCAAAATAATTTACATACTATTCAATTAATCACTGAAAGTTATTCAACTGATTGATTGATTCCAAGACATTTCTTCACAGTTACTCTAGAATCGTTTGATGTTAGTGAGCATGTAAATACATTTTTATACGATAACTACTAATAGACGACATTTAATATTCGAGATGATATCTGCACTATGTTTTTCTAATTTTTAACCAGCAAGATTAGTGTTATTGGTTTATAATACAGTTTTATCTCGGTAAAAGTGTTTTTAAGTTCAGGAGATTATTCATCTGGCAGCGACATTGTGATCGTGGCTGTAATTATTCGTGGATGTTAACAACAACTGTTTATGGACTATCTACTGAATGTCTAACCAATCAATAAGATAAGATGAGATCAATAAAATCAAATTAGTTTACAGACCATATTTAAGTTTGTATTTGTGGAAGTCGTATTGTGTTTGAAATCAAATAATTTCAATGTTTCACATGAAAGCCTAGTCCAAGATTCTTCAGGAAAATAATCAAAATTAAAATATCAAGGATATATAAATGAATCCAGATGGGAAACGACGAGTTGAGCGTCCGAGGGTGACATGGAGGAGATCGTGTGAGGAAGAAATGAGAGCTTGTGGAATGTCGTGGAACCAGGTTCAAAACATTTCAGAGAACAGAGTGGAATGGAGACATGCTACTGAATTCCTATGTTTGACTAGGAACCCAAGGGACAAATAATGATAATAAATAAATAATAATAAATAAATAAATGCAAAGACATGTGTTTAATCTCCTTGTCCAATCTTCTTCGTATAGTCATCATACTTTAGAAAGACAATGACTATAAGAAGATTGGACAAGGAGATTAAATACACGTCTCTGCGTTTATTTGTATCTTCTTGATATTTTAATTTTGATTATTTCCGTTAGAAATCTTGGACCGGGCTTTCATGTGAGACATTGGAATTATTTGCTTTCAAACACACTACGACTTATACAAATACAAACTGTATCGAATGTCAAGGTTTTCCTCGGCGCCCAATATTTTCAGTACTATTCGGTCAAATCTTGATCATAGTTTATATAAAGGCTGCATCTCAGTTATCAAATATTTTCCTAACCTATAATAAATCAAAATACATGAGATTTCGGCCACTGTATTCTTTTGAGCGAAATAGGAATTGATTCAAACTTATCACAAAAGAGTTGGTTGATTATCAGTTGAACTGCAAAACTTGGTCAAGAAACTGTGCATTTGAAAAAGTGATACGAATTGAAACTTAGTTTAAACAGCAATCAAGCTAAAAGCATCTTGACTTAAAGTATCTCCTCAGCTGACTTTCCTTACTGTAGTTTCAATAGTCGATCTATATATACTTAGTATGATAACGAAGAAGGTCTAGGCATTGCATTTAATAAGAATGTGAACATTAAGGTTAGTTATCTGCCTACTAAAGACTCAATCAACAAGAAAATATAAGTTTAAAAATATTTTTACATCCTATATATGTTATTTTAAATCATTGCTAAATTTTATATAGAAGTTAATTTCACGTTGCTTAGCAGCAAGTATCACAAGTGACTTTAATAAATCGTGGTAAATATTGAATATTAAACTGTGTCTACCAAAAATTTTTCCTGCTTCTGTTATCTGGATCATGATAAAACAATTCAACATACTTAGATACAATCATTCTGTTGTATTGTTTTCGTAGTTTTGATTAGTATCCATGATAAATATTTTCTCGTAAAATTTCGAATCCATCAGGTTCAGTGTTGTGTGTTGTAAAAATGCTATGAAAATAAAATATCCTCGTCCGAAAAGGCAAAATGTGAATATCTGTCATTGTTAAGGGCATATTCAATCTTTCTGCCGTTAAAGCAGTAAACTGACTAGGTTTAGAAATTCCTCAGTGAATAACTTTTGAAATTTAGAGGTTTGTGAGGATTTCTGTATTGATCTTAGGTTAAAAATCATCGTGAAATGACATGAGTTAGAAAGCTGTTTTGTACTAGTATGGGACTCTCTAGCACTGCTCATTCATGACGCCAACAGGGATCAAACCTAGGTCAATGGACTTGAAATTCATGCATTCCAATGTTTCCAATGTTTCTCCAACTTATATCAGTCCATGAAGACTATCAACTTGAAATCAATTATTTTTGCACACACAAAGTTGACAGGCATTTTGTTCACTTTAGTTACTGATAAGTTTCATTAAAAAACCCATTTAAAGTAAGCTTCTGAGCGAAGATATTTCAACAGTTCTTCGTGTTTTAATAACAAAATATATTTGTTTGAAATTGAGTAACGGTATCCTTTCTAACGCTTTCTTCCATCATTCAGTAGATTTCAGTCATTTCGATACCTGGTGACTTTAAGGGCTAGCAATATATCCACTAACAGTTTTATGATATGACACTGACGGACTCAGAGAGTGTACAAGTTTGTTCGTTTCTTTCCATTCATGCTAAATAATATTCATCAGGATCGATTTCATGCGCATATCTTACTGATTGTGAGTGAAACATTGCAGGGCTAGCATTTGCACGGTTTTCAATTCTTTGAAGATTATATTCCGTTACTTTCGTGAGTAAATCTTTGTTTGTATTTATAAACTTTTATGATCAGTTGCTGGTTAAAACGTTAGGAACATCAATGACTTTTCTTGCAAATGAAGGCTTAAGGTATACACCTGTTCATCCATCTTACATACTTATTTCAAGTTTTCTTTCAGTACTAAGATGATAGACACTCCACTGAAAATCGCAGTCTTAGTGAATCCACGTTCTTTTTCATACCAATCACTGTATAGTAGCTTACTTATCATTCAGACTAGCTCGAGGTTCAAATGTTGGAAAATGATTTGAAGTATTCCTACATTCTTACAATAGTTCCTTCACTTTCAAAGGCTTCGTCATCCTCTTTTCACATTGTTTTACGTCGTCATTATTTCTCTGTCTGAAAGCGCTGCCCATTAAAATAATGATAATAATAACAATAATAACAAGGCGGTAAAAGCATTCAAATTTCCTCTCATCTGCTGGTAGTAATTATCCCTAATATAAACGAGTAGCCATTAATATTACTTTGTGTGTAATCAGCCTGACAGTTTCAGTTTGGTGAGACCAGCAGCTAGTCATAAAACATGCACAGTGTTGAAACTGTAGACTCCCGCTTCGATGGTTGAAATTACTTTCTTCAACATGTCTAGTATTTTCTTCTTCAAGTCAAATGAAAATCACTTATCAATAATCTTAGATTAATTGCTACAGTTATTCCCAAGTGTGCTGGTTGGTTGCAAGTATTCGAATATAAGTATATGTATATGTATATAAGTACAATTACAGATAAGTGGACTTAATGCTTACCAATAACAAATCGCTAAAATCATCTTACTTCAAACAAGTGATAGGATTCATACACTCAGGTCTTAAAAGTTAACTATAGATTTAGTTCTGCTACTAAGAATCAATTACTTTCCGTAACTATACCAAAATCTTAAGTGTAGTCACATTCTTCTCTTCTGTTTGAAATATCAATAACAATCATAATTATTGGTATATTCGTTTTCATTTACAGTTTTAAGGTGAAGTTTATGAAAGGAAATGTGAACTAAAATATTCAGAGGTTAAAAGCTAGTGTTAATATAATCTTTATTAAATAGTTCTAACACAATTAACTAGACAATTATGAATAATTACAGTGATCAAGAAAATACTTTGTTTCTTTAAAAGTACGTCATAAATACACCTACTAGATTTGACCCAACAAATAACTTAAACTATTGAATGCATCATTTCATTTCCGTCTCTATTCTTCAGTTGTTAACTGTTGTTCGTAACTCAATCACAAGATTTTAATTGAACATTGTAATTAGTTCACGTTCACTTAGTCAAGGACATCGAAAAATCAGATATTAGTAGGACCTATGAGTATTTTGATTATCTGAATGATAGTCTGTATGAAGATAGGTGAGAGTGACATGGCATTAAATAATGTCATCATTTTCCTAATACTCGGTGATGCTTTATATTGGTGATCACCTGTGGCAGAAGCTATGTGAACTAACACTTCTAACTAATGGTTTGATTTTCATAGTTCTTTAATTGTTTGTTTGTCTTCCTCACCTTACTGAAGACAGATCGAGGTAACCGTTTATGTCAGGTGTGTCATGACCCCAACTGATAAATACTTCCTCCAGCAAACAGTTTAATCGATGAACGCAATTTGTAGAGACCTGAATATCACAGTTTGCTTACAGAGAAGAATTAATGAGAACCAGAAATCGAACGAGTCTCCAGTTACTCAATGGTAACTGTCCTCAACAAAAGCAAGCTATAATAGTTCACCAGATTATAATTTCAGAGAAATTTACAACATGAATCAGCTGGAAGCTCTTCAAACAGATTTGATACCTGCTCAAGTTAGTTGGTAATTTACATTTTCAATTTTAAAGAAATACGATTTTCTTCATTAATCAGAGCCCATATTAGTGGCTAGAGGGGCAAACTCATTTGACAAATATCGAGGACATAATTAATCTCTTGTGACAATAGATTACTTATATTTCATTAACCACAAGAAATCGACATCGGTAAAGATCTTTGTGTATTTGAGACATTCAATAGATATAGCACGTCAGGTCGATGACTACTGGAATCTTCATTGTAGAAGAAACCAATAGTTGAAGACTCTTGGGGACTTGGTTCAAAGTCGATCTTAAGTACATAAGTGTACTCACCCTCAGTCATCTTCGGAGGTTTGAACATCACCATTAACCCGCATTTTCTAAACATTCTACGCTTTCATGCGGTTTCGTTAACTTTAATATCTCTCCTCCTCTAACCATTTCTTTGCGCACTCCTATGATAAATTCAACCGACTCACTTCTGTGTCGAGTTCCAAATTGGTCCGTATATTTGTCTATCTGTATCTGATAGAGACTTTGTCATTTGTAGTAAATTGAAGTTTCGTGTTATAGTAAGCGAGAAAAGACTATTGCAGCGAAGAAACCATTTTCCATTCAATGAATTTATTCTCTCAGCGGTACATTCATCAACATACAGTAGAAAAGATAGAACATTCTGTAGTAATTTCTGTTCATTGCTCAGGATGACTTACATGACTAATGGGACTTACATTATATATATGGGTATTTGAAATAGGGAAATAAACAAATAAAATATAATTACATCACAATGGAATTGGCAATCCAGATCGATAAGTCCTTCACGATGGCCATGGCCAATAAAGAGTTTTATCAAACACACAAAGGTATTTGTTTGAGCTTTCGAACTGCTAATGCTTCAGTTGTGCCCAGATGTCTCAACCTCACTCCCTACTAGTGACTTGATTGCACTTCATACAAACTGTTGAAGGAATCGTCAGAATGAGTCAAGTTTATTGAGTTTATTGTGGATTCTGTTACAGAGCTTAAGATGGATTTACGTTCTTGCCTAGTCAGTCAAGCTGAATAATGTTCATTTTGACGAGGTGGCGTATGGTACGGCTGATGTACTCTGCTTTGCAAGAGGAAGTAAACCGATACACGTACACTGACATGAGTAAATTCTCAAACTTGTTCCTTCGAAAAAAAAGTGATTGTTTTGACTTTTGAAATGCTAATTTTCCGGCTATTTATATATGCACATATATATGTGTATATAATTTTACTATTTTTTGACCTTAATTTTATGGTGACCCAATAGAATTTGAAAGTTTTATCTAACAAACGTCTTCAATCAAAATTCACACCTGTTGGCAATATACTGATGGATTTATGCATGTGCAAAACCTATACTGTGTACGTGTAACTCGATAGCGTACAAGTTGTGACTTTTTTCGTGATTCAATAACCGCCAGAAATATTTTTTTATCCTAAGCATTTATAAGAAAATTATAATTTGTTTTAAATTAGCGATTCGGAGGAATGACACTTTGCTATTCTTTGTTTTGATTGTCGGCAAAAGTTGAACAACAACTAAGAAATAAGTTCTAAGACAAAATGGTTCATTAAACATATGTTCACTGGTTGCATGATTACTCGATTTAACCATTGTTGTTTAGACGAAGGTTTTAGAAAGTTTATGATCTGTTTTCAAATTTAAGTGAAAATACTACCTCTATTGACAGATCATGAGGAAAATCTGTTTTACAAATGACTTTTGGTTGTCTTTTAAAAATATTTTAAGGATGATGTCTGCCATAATAGAAACAATTTTGTTTACCATTTATTCTCATGTTTTACTAATTTCCTGTTATACTTCAATTCAGTGAACGTGTTAAACACAGTGAAGCAATATTTCGTCTTTCTGAGGAGTTAGACAATCAAGTTAGGCTAGCTGAAGAAGCAGCTCGAATGAAAGAAAGGGAATCAGCAATGAAGAAATTTGCAGCTGAACTTGAAACGAAATCATTACAAATCAAACAACTGAAGTCAAAAATAAAACATCATGAAGAGGTTGTTGCAAAAACCTTTTTTATATACCTCTTGCTTAAGTGTTTTACCGTCGTTGGGTTTATTTCTTCCTGAAACTATCTTAAGCGTCTTAGTAAACATCCAAGCACAGCTCATCTCAGATAAGGTGAAATGAATTCACCTTACTTTACTTAGTGCTACGCTAACATCTACAATCCTTATTTGATTGATGTCATATTCCAACTTGCGTAGTCCCTTATTTACTTAATGATATTAGATGAGATGAAAATCTGAGTACTAGCAGGATTTTTGTACGGATAATCGACGAACTGCACTACCTACATAAGCTGTAAAACGTACTTTTCGAAAACTTTCAACACCCTAATTAGAAGCTGTAACAAAGTCAAATATTCAAGTTAAGAAAATGCATGATACAAAAAGTTGAAACAATTCTATTCAATCTGTTTATTACAAATTTATCAAAAATTCTACCGAATTAGAATGATTCTACCCACTTTATTCCCTCACAGAGACAGTTATAAAGTGATTAGTTCTGAATTATGAACCCATCAATAGGAAGATAAGAGGTATAAAACCTACGGAATTCGTAAAACCATGTATTATAACCCCTCTTCAGAGGTACAAGTGCGATAAAGTAAGAACAGAGTAGAGATTGAATATTCTGGTGGTAGAACTCAACATAAACTGTGTACCTGATACCACACCATAGACATGAACAATATGTGTGGTATTGAGCGTAAAGCTTCGAGTAAAATTATATACTTCACAGGTGCTCCTATAAGTGGTGGAGAATACCCTACGACTTTATTGACAGAAGTAAACGTTCCTTTCAGGTCACAAAAAGCAGAGGTCAGTCACTTTGATCCACTATAGTAACGGGAAGTTACAATTATCAGCAAATAATAATAGCCAGTAGCCGTTGTACAAAAGATATTTCTTGTCTCCTAGTGGCTCATTGTATAACGCTCTGGCACTTAAAGCGATGGGTTTAGAGTTCGAGTCTCATTTGGGATATCATCACTAATTGGGATGGCCATACATCAGGCTGACAGGTTCTGAATAAGATGACGTGCCTTTAATCCCCCTGATATCCATCCGCAGGTAAATGACAATAATGGATATATAGCTAATATCGAGCGATTTCTATAAAGGCCCATATGACAACAGAGATTAATTAACCCTATCCAGTATGGGAGCCTGAAATTACAAGTATCAACAAATAATAATCAAGCAGGTCATTCCATAAAGATCATCAAGATTTCAGTTGCATATCATGAGGACGAAGGTAAGATATGTAGTATTTTACACATACCTAGAGGATGTGGTCAGCTAGATAATAATCAGACCAATCAAAGTGTTACATTAAATAAATCCTGTTTACTGAAGTGTTTCACTTAACATGAATATTCTCTTTTGCCTATCGCACACATCTAATTAGGATAAGCGAATCTAGATGAAAACTGGGTTATATTGCGTACCTGAAATCTCTGGTAGGAGAAGCAACTCAGGGTTGTCAGATATAAACCATGTTTGTTATTTAGCACTCTAATGGAACATTCAAAACCTAATCATAGGTTTTTAGCAACAAACTAGCTTCACTACCTACTACATTTCTAATGTTTAACATTCTGCGTGACGAGTTATGTCTACGTATGTTGTTTGTAAATAAATGATACCTATTCTTTCAATGTACTGGATCTGTTAGCAAGAAATTCACCAAAAAGAAGCTCAAAATCAGACAATAATACTAAAAACCAATGAACAAGGTGACTCACGCGTAATCAAATTACAAGCAAAAATCTTGAAAATGAATCAAGAAAATTATAACTTAGAAGAAGATCTCGACAATATGCGATTGCAGTTGGCCGAATCACGATCAGAATTCAATGCAGTCCGTCAGAGTTTAAGTGATAAAAGTCATGAGTTAGAACAGTGAGTTTGAAATTTTTGAGTACTTTTAATTTTCTGATACGAGTTTATGAAAAATACTTCTGCTTTCTAATAAAGTTTTGATCAAAGCGAACACGACCGTAGCATTATGGCAGCCAGACATGTTGCACGTTATATAGGCAATTAGATATTAGACACAAAAGTTTTCTCAAAGGTAACTCAACAAAAAGCGTGAACCAATTCACTGGGATCTGTTCAGCTACACAGCAAAAATTAAAATCAGACTCATTCATTTTGAATGTCATGAAATCATCAGAATAACAAAGCGAAAATTTTCCACCTGTTTTACTGATTGCGATTCCCTATAAGATTGGTCTGTTGGATGCGGCACATATTGATGAAGTATAATAAACTAGATCACGTTTCGAGCAACAAACTCTGCTTGAAAAGTTATCTAGTACATAGTGTGCAGTATGAAATGAACAAATCTAGTATGCATTGACAGCTTAAACAAGTGCATAAATTCCGTACTTAACTGAATTGGAGTTTCTTAAGTCAATCAAGCATCTGATCTGTAACAACGAGGAAAACAAGACAATAAGTCCCGTACTTTGACATTTGTCGTACAGGGTGATATCAAGTACGGAATATGCTTGAAGCCTGAAAATGGAATTCATCTACGGTCATTCTTATATTCCAGAAAAGATGTTCATCAGCGACTGAATGACTCCAAATTGATTGTATGGCACTGGGTCATATATATATGATATACATATTTGTCTGGTATTACGGTAGCAACAAGTATTCACTGAAGTTCTAAACATGATTCACTGTAGCCACTTTTAAAAATGCTTTCAGTCATATCTGGACACTATATTGCGAATTTTTATCTAGTCGGTCAACAATAAGTTTTTCAGCAACTCCTCCTTGCCACTTGAATATCTTTACTTCTCCAGAAAAGATGGATCTAACAAATTTGTTTCTACTAGGATTCCTGTATTTCATGCCAACAGCTCTTATGGAACAGATTTTACATTTTCAAGAACTATAAAAAAACAGTTGAATTTTTTGTGTATGGAGAGAACTGTAGGTTCAGCTGGTTGTATAACATACATATATATTTGTTAGGATATTTAGATGAAATGCAAATTTCAGTTACCACGTGAAAATGAGTTTAAAGTGTCAGTATTTAGAGGATGACTAGGATCACAGTTGATTTTATTTTATATAGTCATTCCCATTTGTATAAACCAGCTGAAATAAACTTGGTTCGAAAATCTACAACTTTCTTTTTCTATAAAAAAAGCTCAGCCGGACCTACTCATGCTGTGACATACAAACACGTGATAAGACAGCATTCAGTGACAATTGAAAAACATAATTGAGGTGGGTGTAGAGGGTGGATGATTACAAACTTCGTTTATATAATCAGCACTTAACACATTTAACAAGACTGAGGTGATACATATTCTGGAAATATGGAATATTTTACTGCCAAAGCAGTCAAAGAATGAAAAACGTTAGAATAGTGAAACCAAACTGCAAAGTTGTGTGATTATATCAATATGATAATGAGAAGTGAATTTTGATCAGAACGTCATCCATTGAATAATACCGTCTCACTGTGTTACACACAACAAAAGATGTGAAATGGAATTATACTGCATCACAATGGCTATATTATACTTCTGTATGATTATTGAGTGCCGTTTATATTACTATACCTATGTAAACAACCAAAAGAAACACACGTGGGTTGTATGTAATATTTGACTCAAATAAAACTGCACATTTATGTGGATGATCATAGATGAGCAGAGTTACCTTAGTGGCAACGATTAGCAAAATCTGTCTGGAACTGTTACGGCGAATATCACTTCGAAAACAATTTGAGAACTTATTTAAGTTTTTTTATTCTTTAATTACATGGGATTGTAAGTTTTAGTAACGTAATCAAAACGTTTCACACACTACATTCTTTGTCCAATTTAGGTTCAGTTTATGTACCAGTAGTGACTTAAAAGGCTTACTTGTTTCTTTTTTGTGACGCTTACGACTTTCTTTAGTGTTATTATTCCATTTTAACTATTTCATGTTTTTCAACTTTTACTTAAGATACTTTTCTAAGTTACCGAAATAATGTGTGCTTCGATGTGCTTAGGGTTTGCGTGTCATGTCTTTTAGCGTAAGCCTTACTGTATCACAAAGTTATCCAAATATTTAGAAGTGACGAGTTTCTGCAGATAAATGACGCTAAACCATGTTTTTGTAGCTCATGCTAGACTTAATGTTAGATTAACTTGATTCACTCAGATCGTATGGTTAGGATAACTAATTCGTAATTTGTTTGGACATAGTTTTTAGTAACAGTAGTAAGCTTGAAATGACATTTAGATGCAACTGACTTCTTAGTATGTACCTATATCATATAACTTCATAGTTTTCAGAGTCGTCTGAACGAATGTAAATTAAGTAATATGCTTCACTTTACTACCTAATGAACGTGAATTTTAATTTTACTTTCACGAAATCGTTAGTGTTTCAATGTTCACTGTTATGGTTAGCTTTAAATTGTAATGTCCAACCTATAAACTAACCACCTGTTATCTCATCTAATATCTGTATAAATACAACTTTTTGAAAACTATTTTAATCTGTCATAAAACTGTTCAACTAATAAACCAGAAAACACTTTTTTCAGAGCAGTAACCGCAAAAATATGATGTTTGCTAACGTGCCAAGTTAGGTGGTTGCCAAGTAATAATTTCTGCAATATGAAAGGTACAAATTCTGAAAATTGTCATATTCATTTTGCTTTAAAGCTCACATTCTATAAAAAGGGACCATAGTAAATTCTTAGTGTCTGACCAATATCTTAAAATCTGAACAAATGATATGCTGAATATTATACTAACTTCCAGCTTTGTTGTTCACTATTCAGTAACTAGCTTTGAAGAATTTTCATTATCACCTAATAAATATAACGTACACAAGCTTTTCATAAGTACTGGTCGTAACAAAGATATCATGTCAAACTTTTCCTATCCAATAATATATAATAGCATATAAGTGAATTTCAAATCAAGCGATAGTCGCGAAAAAGTCTCCAATGAATTTTAAATATATTCAAAGGTTTCCTCCATTATCCCTGATAATTCTGCATCCTTTACGACTCAAAGAAGAAAGTAACTGAGAAAACATTTCCCAAAGCAGTAACATTAAGAACAAGTCAAAAGAAACTAAGAAATACCTAAGCATAATAACTGTTTGAAGCTATAGTGCATTAAAAAAGGGATCAGAATAGAAGTAAGTTTTTCACTGTTGCAGGAAAATTTTACCAACGCATTTTAAATAACTAAGTAATAAAGTTGATTCAAGTGAAGTGTACATAGCACACAGCTTTACTTAAATATCAAACTGGTTAATCAGAATTCTAATGAAACTAATCGGTATTGTAGAATTTTGAGGCGATTACTTGAATAATTTTTTTACCGACTAAATTATGAACTATGTGATGTATTACCGTCAAAGCATAATTTCTTTTCGTAGGGATTAGTGTTCTCATGAATAAAGGACATGCGTTCATCTCATTTGATCTTTCTGAATAAAAATAATGCTCAGTCATAGTACATTGTGAATTGTCAGCGTACATAATTATAAAGCTGTGAACAAAGACCAATATCTAGCAAATTTCTGAAGGGTTAACTTATAAGGAGCTAAAAATGAGTTTTAAGGTGAATGAAGTCAGTTCATAGTAAGGACCATATCTAGGTTGTTACTCCTCCGAAGATTACAGTGTTATTCTTCTGAATCATGAAAATTATCAGTTTATACCATTCTAATGTCTAAACTAACTAACATACATACAACTTCTTGAAAGAAATAGTATGATAAAAGTTGCGAAAATTCAATCAACAAGTCTGCATATATTTTTTTCAAAAAGAATACTTCGTTTTGATTTCTACTTGTGCCTTTAGCAACTTTTTGGGTTTTTTCACTGACCTATATCAATTTGTAAATAGCTCTTTCATCTCTAGTGAGTATTTTTACAACGTGTTAATCGATAACAAATAATTTCAGCTTCATAGTACACCTTAATTTAAAAAATAAATAGTAATAATCTGAAATAAATAGTTTGCTTTAGGCTATCAACCTGAATTTCAATGCTTGAATGTACATAGAACAATCATTTCTGTGGACAACAGATAGTCATTATTATCGTATATGAATACATAGAGAGAATAAGAGTTCCAGTAGAAGAGCATGCATTCATTTTATTTCAAGTTTTCTCATCTATGGCATAAAACCTAAAACCAATTTTGATATCAAACCATGAGAAATGTTCACATACTTGAATCAAACTGGTAGAAAATAACCAGCATGGAGAAACGATAGCAATGTTGCTACATAGTTGAAGTCAGAAGAATTTAGTGAGTTTATATATATATATATATAAGACAACTAAAGTTGATACTGGGTGATGGTTGAAGATAAAATGAAAATCTGGGTCGTGGTAGGATTAGAGCTAGTAGCCTATAGGTTGCCGCCTCCATGCTCTACCAATCCTTTCGCTATCCAGATTTTCACTCCACCTTCAATCAACTAGTTTCAATAATACAAGTTATCAAAACAATGGCTATCTGGAACAACCAACCTAAAAATAATAAAGCTATGTATTAATATAAGCGTAAAACTTGGGCACTGTAGTCGAGTGTAATTCCATTTTATTCTGTTTATTAGAAATATCACACAATGAAATAGTAGCATTTACTGGAAAAGGTTTCGAACACAATTTATTGTCCATATTCATATCAGGTAAAACTAGGAATATATAAAGACTGTCTCGAAGTTTGGGAGTTACCTGAAATGAATATGGACAATAAATTGTGTCCAAAATGTTATCCAGTAAATGCTACTGTTTTACTGTGTGATATTCCTAATAAACAGACGAAAAAAAGCTGTCTTTATATGGAGATATTTTAGAGCAAAAGTTTGAAGAACGGGGGTAGATAAATGTATCCTACAAATTAAGAACTGGATTCAAAACCACGACCGGAGCAGGCTGCATTCAGGAAGTACAAATCATGTGCACATCAAATCGCAACGCTACACTACGCATCATCATAGAACAGAATAAACAATGGCAGTCAACTCAACTTCATCCACATTGAAAAGGCCTTCGACAGCGTCGACAGAGAAGTAATTTGGCAGGTAGCTGCTTGCTTCAACACTATGGAATACCACAAACCCTCATCAACCTCATTCAACACCTAGCTATATGAAGACGCCACAAGTCAAGTAATTCACAATGGAAGGCTCATTGATGCCTTTGAAGTGAAGAGAGGAGTAAGACAAGGCTGTCTAATATCAACCAAGATATTCTTCATTGTGGTGGACTGGACTGCATCATGCAACAAACTGTGAGATGCGAGAAGAAAGCGATATGCTGGACCGGGGAAAAAATCCTGGAAGATTCGGATTTCGCCGATGATTTGTGTCTAATGTCTTGTGGCACGAACCTGAAGAACTACAGATGAAAACTAACAAGTTGACAGAAGAGGCGAGGCAGCGCAGCGAAGATGAGACTTCAAGTGAATGTAGAGAAGACAGAGGTGATGAAGATACCCAACCAATACCACAACTACCAACAACAACAACAAGCTCCAGTCACCATCACCATCAACGGGAAAAACTTGAAGGAAGTAGCCTCTTTCACCTACACCTACCTAGGCAGGATCGTTACAACTACAGGCGGCGGTGGCACAGACGAGGACGTAAATGACAGGATTGGAAACACAGCAAGACAGGTGTTCATTAGCCTGAAACCAGTGCGGAGATCTGCACTCCACTCCACTCAGCATGAAGCGTGAACAAGATCCCGATTTTCAACATCAATTCAGTCAAGTCAGTGCTTCTGTGTGATGGTTGAGAGACTTAGCGCGTTACGAAAGTCATTCCCAACAAACTACAGATATTCATCAACAACCGTCTACGCTGGCTCGTTCCTGAAGCTCAGATGGCCAGAATAATATGATAAGTAGCAAGAAACTCACTCTGGCTGACTGTGAACGAACCAACCAAAAACTTATAGCCCAATGAATATGCAGAAGGAAGTGGAGATGGACTGGATTGAGCATGCACTGAGAAGGTCGACTGAGGACATCACACGCCAGATGGAAAACGATGAGTTGTGCGTCCCAGCTGAGGGTGAGATGGAGGAGATGGTGTGAGGAAGACATGAGAGTTTGTGGGCAGTGGTGGATCCAGGTTGAGAAGATTGCAGAGAAGAGAGTGAAGTGGAGGCACGCTACTGAAGCGGTATGTTCCACTGGGGACCTTAGGGACAAGTAATAATAATGACATAATACAAATTAAGAAAGGTCACATGAACTGTACACACGGAGGTCAGAAGATTTACGGTAGGGGAAACTATACAATCCAAATGGTCAGGTCAAGAGGCTGAAATGGACCGATAATAAAGGCTTGTAAATCTGTGTTCTTCTAATGAGTGTACTTTGGCAAATGCATATGAACCGGTGTTTTCAATTAGTGATTACATAAAAATTGGTCTTATTTAAGTCTAATTGTCCCATTGAGATACCGGTTTGAGAACTTGTCATTAACCTGGAATTCCAATAGGTCCTCCTTAAGTTAGCATTTATTCCGTAATTCCACTAGGAACGTTATCACATTTTGAACCACTATTTTAGGAAACATATTTATTCTGAACTGCATCACATTTCTTATTTTTAGTTGGTATTTTCTTGTTCTTAATAGCAAATTTTTGTAAATATGCGTAATCATAGAGGCGATTTTCGTAACGATAGTCATCCTCTCTCCTTGTATCTCTCTGAAACGGAGATATATTAAGCGGTTGAGAAGTATTTTCGGAGACCTTTTCTTACAGATTATCAAAGAAAGGCTGTTTAAGTCATTTTCTAATCCATCAATCTTTATATTCTTTGTATATATTCATCTGTTGGTTGGTGAATTCCCAGAGTGTGGATGTGAATATTCTCATTTTTTCATATTCGACTATAATTCCTATACTTTGATATGTATTGTGAAGTAGACTAAACAAATAAAATGTATGTTCAAGGCATTCGCAAACAATGAATGTGTCACCAACGCGCCTACTGTTGAACGTTATCCCGTTGATTGGATAATTCATACTCTTGCATACAAGATCTCCGTTAAGATGTCGGTTAGTATGGGACCAAAGGGACTGTCTATCGCAAATTTACAATTTAAAGATATATGACGTTGCCAAATTTTATTTGTACGTTCATGGTGCTTATGACAAAAAGACGTTCAAATTCTTTTTGACTTATCGACAGAGGGCTAAAATAAAGACATACAGTCTCCATAGTTTCTTTTAAAAGGATCCTTAGAAATAAAGAAAATATACCAGAAGACATCATGAAGCGATTAAGAAATTTCAACCTGGTCTTTGAGCACTTCCAAAATAACCTCAATAAGGTATTTCTTTCGGACTTTATTCAGTTAGAGAACCGTTGAAAACCCAAAAGGACTGGGCAGCTCCTTCTTCCATTCATGGGACTCCTCAGAAGTGTGCGCTCATGCTTCTGCCGGAGACCCAACCCTGAACCTTCAAGTTTCGTGGTCACCACCTTACCACTGAGTCAATGGGTCGGAATCCAGAGATTCTTATGTTCTTACGTTTATCGGGTCTGTAGAAGAATACTCATCTTGATATGAATATGGACAATAAATTATGTTTGAAATGCAATCCAGTAAACAATACTGTTGTACTGTGTGATCAATCAAATAACTCAATAAAAATGGAATTGCATTCTATCACAGTGTACAAGTTTTACTCTTATATTAAAAATACTCGCCAACTGCATTATATCGTGGTCTCGCTAGCTGATGAGTTGACGAAGGCAAGAAATTGTTGACCATGTGATTAAACCCAATGGTTCATTGACAATGTAGTGGCCGTGAAATGCGAAGGTTCAGGGTTCGGTCCCTGACAGGATCATGGGTGCACATTTCTGAAAGGTCCATTCAGGAGAGAAGCAGCTACTCAGTGCTCCCAGGTTTTCAGTGGTTTTCTAAGTGATTTCACTTCGTGATGAAAACCACCTTGAAATCAATTAACCCCCACAAACCTCCAGAGTAAATCAAGGCAATCTTTCCAACCATCGTTTTCCGGCTTTTAACAAAGTGATTTCAACTTCTGGGCTAATTGACCAGCTAGTTAATGCTGCGTGAATTTATCATCGACAACAGAGGTCTCTTATAAATCCATATAAATACGTGCTTTGAGCTGACCATAGACAGAGTTATCACTTAATTTATCCCCAAAGTGATCCTATGATTTTTTTTGTATTACGCTTTTCTATTGCCTTAGTCTTACCTTCAGTGGTACTGTTTACCATCAATCTTGATAAACCCTAAAGAAATGATGTATCATTATCTACAAATACATGTTTGTTCATAATAACTAGACCAGATTGCAATCTTGCGGAAGTATTACAATGGTATTACTCTTCATTATATTTCCTGATGCTGTCTTTTGGATTGTGGAACTCATGACAGCATATGCTAATAGGGGCTGTTAATCTATTGGGATGTAAACCAACCTTGCTTCTCATCATTCATTGGTTTTAATTCTGAAAGATGGTGATATAAGTCGTCTAAGTGATTTTTTTTAGAAAATCTGTTTTTAATTTTATTTAAAATGAAAATGGCACTTAAAATTGACATTTGAGCTAAAACACTTTGTCAAATTTCATATTTCATCGTTTAAAATGTCACTTAATTTCACTCTTTTACATGAAATATTCACCTTTCATTAAAAAGGCGTAATGATTCAATTTTCAACTATTTCACCCCTCAGCCAAATGTCTGCTCTAATTGAAACTGTCAAAGAAAATTCTACACTGAAACGTCAAATCGGAATATTGCAGTAAGCCTGTTTGTTTTTCCTATTGTTCTTGTTGCATATCTTATCAAATCAGTTTACCGGTGCTTGATTTCGCAATCTGTGACTTTAGTTCTACTTCTGTAGTCTTATTATGCGTATAAATCTGGAAATGTCTTTAAGCTGCAATCGACGAAATTTATTTCTTTACGAAAATATATATAGCATCATTGTATAATCAGGTAAATAATTAACACATTCTTCAATATTGTCTATTCATTAATATAGTTTATCTCTCGAATGAAGAGAATCTTATATGATTTTAATTCAATTGTTTTCAGTGCTCTTTTTTCACAGGTAAAATTTTGACTTCAGTCTTGATGGTGTCTGTACTGATGCTTCAAAAGGTAAAGAAATTCGTACACTTTTTATAAGTATTCATAGATGCAAACTGTGCATAGTTGAATGATATCGGGATGCTTTTGTGACTTCAAGTACCCATCGAACACTTCACTATGCTTAATGCCCTAAAATAAAAAAGTACCAAGTTACTCATAAAATCATTCAAAACACTCACCATTTCATCATATTAATATTATATCTCATCTTTCTGGTTTACATCAACAAATAATAAAGATTACAAATACACCAAGAATATTATTTACTATTCCAAACTGTAAGTATCAGTAAAATGAAAGCAAACACACTAATTAAATGAAATATTTCTAGCAAAGGGTAAGCATTCTAAATGAAGCTAACAAGCACTAATCAACTAAAGTTAATGAGTCTGAACAACAAGCAGTAGTATATTGGTCTTTTGGTTTTGTTACACTCATGTATTTAAGTATAGAATGAAATTTCGGGAAGTAGTTGGTGATGGCATACTAATGTATGTCTTGTTCTTTCTGATGATCATCAGCTGCATGCAATCGCATTTGTATTTATATTTCCACTCAAGATTTCACCTAGCACTACTGATTTTAGATACCAAAGCGGTATTCACTATATTGCTTATGCATAATAACCACTTGTTTTTCGTGAACGACAAGTGTTTATGAGATAATCAACTGGTTATCATGTTATTCGCCATCCAATTCTCTCTTTTTTTATGATCAGATCACAATTTGATTTAGTTTTCTGAGGATAAAGATCTATTTAGATTTGACTGAGCAAATATATTTAGCTTATTGACATTAAAGTTGTACTTCGAGGTAGTATTCATCATGTATTGACATCAACTGGATAACTACTGAAAATCTGAGAGCATCTGACACCTTAAGAGTCCCATAATGGGACGAAACAGCTACTCAGTGCAATCAGGTTTTTAATGGCTCTCCAATTGATGCTAGTCCGTTACATTAAATACCTCAAAGTTAAAATCACCTCAGAAGTTGTACTTATTTGAAACTTGTTTTCTATTACCTATCAGTACAGTTATTGACTCCAAGCTTGTTCTCCTGCTCATTAAAAGGTTGAACTTTGAACCATAAAAAACTATTTCGCATAGACAGTATTACTGAAATACACTTTTAACAAAAGTATTTGCCTAGAGGAGACTGGAAGCTCACTTGTTATTATAATTGTTCAACTGAGCTTCATTTATTACTTATCTAATAGATTCTGATTATTTTTGCAGACGCTACTCTGCAACTATTTTCATTAAACTTACAAATACCAAATTCACATACATTACTCCAACGTTTTCATTTTGCTACAGTTATGAGAGTGAATTCTTTCGTTGAATCTCTTAAATTCCCTCTTTAATTCCTTTTCAGAGATATCAATAAAAAGTTATACGATGCTAATGATGGTCTGTTCAATATGTTTGAGAGTTATCCGGAGTGGTTGCGTAAACAATGGAAAGTTGAAGATATTAAACCAGCTTCTGCAATAGTTGATCAGAAATTCAGACGAACTTCTGTAGAACTCAAACCAATCAAGACAGTTGCCAAGTCATTTGATGCATGTGATTGTGATGCAAGCATTTCTACATGTGTATCATGTGCAAGTGACCACAGAGAAGAATTAAAACTCAGTTGTCTGGAAAGAGCTCCTATAGCAAATCAAAATCGGAAAAATTGGAGTGCATTACACCAAAACTGCATGAAAGCGGAGGTAATTAAATGCATTTCATTGGTTATAGTTTTAAAAAATCACTGAAGATATGCCAAATGTGCTATGATTTCCTTTTTTATCTACAGTTATTAAAGATCATCTTTCTTACTTCGCATAGCTAATTATAGATATGATAAATTTAGATATCGCCTTCGAGTTTTGCCTATCACTTAGGCATTTTAACTAACCTATGATATTACATCTATTGATAAATTTAGGAGCGGTTAGGTCATTAAGTACAATTCTTTATCTAATATCAAACTTTTAATTGGATATATCTAATTCTACACGATTGTCCAACGTTTTTCGGATCTATAAAGTAACGGTTTCCGCGCTAGCCATACTAACTTTACCAGGTCAAAATCATTAAACACGCCTCCAAGTCACCTGTTAACTTATACAAAGATAATACATAGTTTGCAAGACGAATATCAACTTCAGGACCAAGTCGTATTCAACAGGATTGAATTCAAACACTTAGCATAATTAACATTCAGGCAATATCGAAGCATCTGCATAGGAGCCCATATGCTAATAGAGGTTGAACAATTCGATCCAACGGAGAATAACAAATATGCCAATAAATAGTAATTTTTAGTTGACTTTGAACTTAATCACACTGCCATCATAAACACTACTGACCATCTTTATTTGATATAAATTAGTAGCGTAGCAATCAAGTCTTTTTACTTTAGATTATCAAGCGACAAATCCTCTTTACTTTTCTCATAAAGGCAGAAAGTGCATTTTAAGTACTTAAACATTATTTTCATTCCTAGTGAATATGTGACTCTTCGAGGTATATAGTATATAAAAATATCAGATTTCATATTTTTGGCAACAAAGTATTTGGATTGTTTCATCGATATACATGAAAAAAGTAAAGATTAAGTTATAGTGAAATACTGGTTTATATTCCTTCCCGTTTATTAGTTCACGGCAAGTAATTTGTGTCTGAACTCTGCTCAGCATTGAACCTCTTGCATTCAGATTTCCTAAAAAAGCAGGTGTTTGAAATGATGGAAAAGATTTGTAGCTCAGGATGAATATGATAATAGTTTGGTGTTCTCTGAGCTTTGATATTTTATCATGAATGTTTCTTCACCATGCTTGGTGACATCTTCAGCGATAAAAAAATCAAAGCTCAGAGAACTGGAAACCCCCAATCATCATTAAATAATCTTGATTTCACTAGAATTTCATTTCATCTTGACATACTATTGACGTCCTATTTTATGGCAACAGTGTGGTTTATTTGAAATGTTACTAAATTTCAGTGTTAATGAAAACTGTCAGATGCATCTTTTAAGATAGACTCAGTAGTCAGCTCTGAATGACGAACACTTGGAGGCTATCTATGCTTTATCATTTTTCCAGCAATGGAAATCAGCTGAGTGGATGTAAATACCTAATGGGACTTTCACAAGCGGATGAATTACACCAACATTTTAGTAGAATACCAATTTTTAAACCTCAGAGTTTGGGTTACGAGTCTCCCAGTCCCAAGTTTTAACGACAAATTGCTTAATCTAAATAATCAATAATAAAAATGAAACAATTGATTTCATAATAGTTTTTCAAGCTTATATCCTCTCAACTATCACACACTTTTGAGTACTTTCATATCATACCTTTTCTGTTCACTTGCTTTTCGTATAATGCTATGTAGTATGGCAACTTGAACCAGTAAATTTCCGTGTGAGGTTCTGTGTTAGTTTTCCGAACTTTCTACGGCTTTCAACTAATAAAATTATCATCCTAATAAGATGTATTATTGAGACTTACAAATAGTCATATATACTGGTCAACTGAGTAAGTTTAAAAATTTCTTTTAATCATTCTGAGAAATAAGAAAATCAGTATTTGTCTGCATATACATTTTGTAGATAGTGGATTATCTAGTCAGGCAGATGTTAAAGAAAACGAATCTGATAGTGAGATGAAATTACTCGTAGACAAGCAACAAAAATCATGGGTAAGTGGACAAATTTTCTGTTTTGTACTTTTTTAACAATAGTGTAGTAAATATTATTAATTTAGCTTAATTTAGCTGAAACATAACCTCCAAAACATTAACAACAAGTTGTGGTTAAAAAAACACCAGTGTTTAGTAGTAGTAACCTGTTATACTTATTAGTCTCAAATCAAGTTCAAATCAATTTTACATAACTTTTGACTGAAAAGGAGTGATATTAGGCAATCAGAAGTGTAAAGGAGGAGGAGAAAATTAAAAACAAAAGTTAGCACAGATATTCAAGCTTAAGGAGACGTCAGAGTTAGAATACATCTTCACCATAAAGAGCGATTCTCATGCATTTCACCAACAGTCGTCAACCATTGATTCCTATCGTCTCGAGGCAGTCTATATCTCCCCAAACCGCTAAGATCAACAGTTAAGGAAAACATAGACTGCAACCAGGTTTTGGTTTAGCCACCCTGAAACCTCTTCCAACCTAAGCCAACTTAACACCACCAATATGACAGGTCGGGGCTTGCGGTGGTTTGGCATGCGTACTCTACGTCCAAACCATCTCACTTCACTAAGATTCACAACCATATCCATCGACTTCCCTGTCCTAAACCTTTGCCTGACGTCAGCATTGCTCACACGGGGATTCCACTAAACGCCAGCAAACACCTAAAGACACCGTGGATAGAAACCCTGCAACCGTTTATTGTCTTCTACTTTTAACGGCCGTGTCTCAGGCGTACAACAAAACAGAACGCACTGCAATGCATTATACTCGTCCTTTGATAGATAGTTGAATATCTTGCCAGTCAGCACAAGTCAGTAAATGCCAGACGGATCTTCTGTATCCGAGCTGAGATTTCGTCAGCAACCAGCCTGTTCGACAAGCTGATGCAACTCCCCAAGTAAGTGAAGTGGCCGACACGTTCCACCACTTCACTCCCTATCGTCAAACTAGGAGTGGTTGCAGACCAGTCCTGGAGCGTCATCTTACATCTGACAGGTGCTGATGAAACGCATGCTAAAAATACTTAGATTTCTGCTTGACGCGATCACAAGGCCCTGCATTTCATCAGCTTCTTCACCCAGCAGGAAAATATCGTCTGCATACTCCAAGTCAACCAGATGACCTCCAGGGAGTAAATCAATCCCTGTGAAGTCACACGTACCTATGGTTATGTCCATTAGTACGTCTATTACGAAGTTGAATAGGAATGGTGATACTGGGTTTTCCTGGTGAACACCAGTAGTTGTCGTCAATTCACATGACGGCTCTCCATAAGCCATGACACGGCTGAGTGATTTCAACTAGAGAGTTTTGATTAACGCTGTATACTTTCTCAGTACTCCCTTCACAGTTAGACACAGTCACGACACCTCACGGTCAACAGAATGAAATGCTACCTTCAGGTCAAGAAATATGGCAAGTGTCGGCCACTGGTTGGTAGGTATGGCTGTATTCCAGAACCTGTTGACTGGTAGAAATATGATCGACGCACCTTCGTTGTAGGCTGAAACCTGCCTCGTATTTCCAGTTTGCGGTTATCGAGCTCCAATTAGGCGTTGGATAACAATGGACTCTAGGATCCTGGATACAATATTAGTCAAACTAATACGCCTACGGTTACCACAGGAAGACTTCTCTCCCCTCCCATAAACTGGGATGGTCAGAGAAGTCCACCAGTCTCCTGGAACTGTCTCTGAATCCGATACACTGCTTGACACTTTCGTTACGCAAATCAGCGATTTCCTACCTCCATCCCTTAAAACTTTCACGTCTTGCTACTTTGCATCGTTTCAAATCTTATACAGCTTTTTCAATTTCAAGAAGAGTTGGTAAACCGATATCTACGTCCCAATCACGTTCAGACCGAATGTTGAGCCAACTGAAGCGTTGCTAAGAGCTACGTGAACCGTGCTTCAACCTACTCAACCTATCCAGCCACACATCCCAGGAAGTTATCAGGCTACCAACCTTTTCTCTGATGCTTTTACTCAACATCGTCTTCTTGCCATATCCTTAATAAACCTAAATACTTGTCGAGTGCTACACACCACCGATGCTTTCTCTATCTCTCTTGGTCTTCCTACCCAATACTCATCACAATCGTTGCGAAGACTCAGCCAATTTATGTTCAAATTGTTCTCGCTCTTCATCGTGGTCAGTCTTCTCGTATCAATCAGTTAGGATAACATCGCGTAAGCCCACAGCAGACTTAATATCACTCCTTGTTTCACCAGGATGATCATTGCTGTCATGTTCAGATAAATACTCAGTTAACTTCTCTTTCAGTGCATGTTTAGAGTCCTCAGTTTCCAATCAGGCACAGATAGGCCTCACTCCCTCTCGCTTCTTGCGACCAGTAAAGTGCAGACAAACACGAGCCCGTACTAACTCGTGGTCTGACTCCGAGCTTGTAATCCGGAATCAGCGCAACCCTCCACCGACCCTCTCCAACCATGGCTTATAGCAATGTCATCCATCTGTGTCCATCATTGGTTTGGTGTCTGCGGACGCCATATGAGACAGTATCTCTCCTTATGCACAAAGTTGGTGCCGGCCAGAAACAAATAATTCTTGGAGTAAAATTGAAACAGATGATCACCGCTGTTGGTTTGTTGGCATGGGATTCCGTAAATACTACCAAGAGGCATTTCCGATTGGCTCAGCTTCCCTACCGGAGTGTTAAGGTCCCCTGCTGCCATTATGACTAAATCTGATCGTTTCGCTTTCTGTAGCAAAGTTGACAGCTTTTCACAGAATTCATCCCTTGCATCATCCAGACTGCAGTCGGTGGTTGTGTTGGCGGAGATCACGAATAGCCATCGGTTGGTCTCATGATCTTTCCTAGATCATTCAGTCGAACAGCATATAGACGGCGGTTTACCGGTACCCAATCAAGAAGTGTACTTTCTGCTCTACAAGTCAATGCTATGTCTACACCACCGTATCCACAAGAGCTAGCCATTGGATCTCCGGGATACTCTTAAGATGAGTTTTGAAAATCCACTAATATAGTTAGGTGAGGTCGATTCAATAGCCAAGCCCGGGTGAAATATGCGTGTCTCCGAGACATAGCATATATCCCTGGTCAAGGATTCGAGAGTTTTGGAGAGCGATGTTTACTGTTCATTTTGGCATAGGGTTCAGGGTCTTAAGAAACTAAAAATGAAGTTTTGATAGCTTTGATCGTTGACAGCGGTTGCAAATTGAGAGGTTAGTTAAGGCGTGATAGGCCTAATATTAGTATCAGAAAGTGAAGGCAGGGAAGGAGATGGACTGGAGGAACACATATTGTATTTGATCTGGTCTTGTGTATTGATGGAAGCTTGATGTTCGATGAACAAGGAGAATCTGTACCGTGGACACCAGGACACCGTAGGGCAGGACGGAGTGTGCTACTTTTGAGACCGACCTTTTCTAACCTCTTTTCCTATAGGAAAGACAGTGTCGACCTGACACTGCTGGTTATCCGAGAGAAACATGTTATTGTTGTTAAACCTCCTTCCATTCGTCAGTATAACTTCGCCCTGAAACCCTATCATGATGTGATAATTTACAACCTGGCTCCACCACTGCCCACAAGCTTTCATTTCCCCCTTGCACGATCTCCTCCATGTCACCCTCAGCTGGGACGCACAACTCATCGTTTCCCATCTGAGTTTCACTCAAGGGCCTGGCGCGTGATGTCCCAATCAGCCTTCTCAGTGTATGCTCACTCCAGTCCATCTCCACTTCCGTCTGCATATTTGTTGGGTTTATGGGTTCTTGCTTCGTTGCCAGAGTTCCTTGCTGCTTATTCTTTCTGGCCATCCGAGCTTCAGTTACGAGTCAGCGTGGGCAGATGTTGATGGATGTCTGCAGTTTGCTGGAAGTGCTTTTCGTGACGTACCATGTTTCTGAACCATATAGCAGCACTGACTTGACGTTGGTGAATTTATTTGATAAATAGTAACCAAATGATATTATAAATTCACAGTTTCATTTGGCGGAAAGCCTGATCTCAGTTTTAAAAAAATGTAAATAAGCTTCTAAGGGTAGAGTATAAGACAAAAACTGCCTATCTTAAAAGTATTCGCCTGTTTGTTCAATCAAGTCAACCAATATAAACATAGGACCAGGCATTACTGCATAACGATCCAAGTTGTACAAGAAACAAAAAATCGACAAGATGAAAGATAAAGATATGAAGAAGAATCGGTTAAAAGTAGTAGAAAGTAGTAAAAGAGAATAAGGAGGATTGAAAAAATGCTGAAATCATTATTGAGGTTAAGGAGAAGATAAAATGTGGATACCTCCGGCCCATTTACATCGAGTGTTAGCCATATCACCTAGAACCTCCAAGCGCTGGTTTCTGTTTTCCCATAGACTCTAACCGGCTAGTCTGCGTCTCACTACATGGCTCAAGCCAACAGTTAAGGACTTCATACAGTGATACATGCTTTAGTCTGACTTTTACTCTGAGCCTACTTAAGCTAACATTTTGCGACCAAGCAAAAGGTGATGAGGTATGCATAACACATATCCCACCCTTTTTTCAATATTTAAGTTAAAACATGCAAAATGAGTAAACGTACTGTTTTTTCCTTACCATATCTCTTTACCCATCTTTATTAATGTCCAATCCATTTAACTAATGAAATCCAAGGTTCACAACCAACCGTGTAAACTTGTCGTCCATCACAAGGAAACCCATATTTCCGTTTTACAGTGTTTTATCTTATACTATTTTCTCAAATATATAACCTTATAAACGTATTCTTATTACAAGGACATATTTCCTATGATAATATTCGTATTTCTCCGAACAGTCCATCGAAGAAGCAATAAGTTCCGAAAAAATCTGGCTTAGATTTTCAGAACACGCTGGGACTGTACCAAATATATTCTTATAGTGATTAAATGAGACTCGGTGCTAAATTTTTTCCAAGATATTTATAACAGTTATGGTTTGGATGCTAATAAAAAACACACTATTTGTACATTTCATTCTGTAAGGAATTCT